CGAGAGCAAGTGGGGGCCCCTTCCGCCTGCAGTCTCCCCGTCCCTCCTCCTGGCGCTCCTACCAGGGAAATGGGGCTGGGGCGTGGGGGCTTGTCCTGCTCTGCCCACCCAGCACTCCTGCAGGAGCGCCAGGCGGGTGGACAGAGCGGGTCGGGGCTTGGGGACACCCCAATTGGCTGGGACCCCTGGGCACAGGCCCTGTTGGCCCAGTGGCTAATCTGCCACTGTCCGGAGGTCTTTAGAACATGAAGTACTTTACCTTTCAGCACCTGGTGGTTGCATCCATTTCAGCTATATGTAAAAGAATGTCGATCTGGTAACAAATGAAATCTAAACCACTTCAAGTTGCCTTTTAGCTGTACTGTTTTTTACTCTCAAATGAGCTTCTCAAAACAAAATAAGACATCAGAATATTTGGTTTCAGTACTCCCATTTTAAAACCCCTTTGTGGGAGTCGCAGGCACAAACAGCCAATCTGCTGCCCTACAGATACCATGTCTTAATGGAGCTGTGGTATTAGGATATAAGCAGTAGGTCAAAGTAAAAAAAAAAAGTGGACTTTCGTTCTTGATGAACTTCCACTTCATCTGACTATGCACTCCAGCCTTTTCAAGGGACATTGTAAGGTCAAATATGAGCCAAAAATGAAGCAGAAGTATAAACAAGCTTGTATAAAACCTGAGACCAACAAAAATGTTTCCATTAACTAAAAACAATGTTTACCTCCTTCCAACAAATAAATATTTGTATTCAGTGTTTGCCTCCCAAATGTTGTAACATGATGCTAATACCTTAGAACCTTAAAGAAAAAATGACTCTTCTTTTCATCCAAAATGAAAAGGGCAAATAAGTGTAAAGCACGCTTGACTTTTAAAATAATCAGTTTAAATAATCTAAAGCATTCTTAACAACATAAGTAAGAATTTAAAAAAAAATTAAACTGACTGTCCACTTAAGAACATCAGTATAATGTATGTGAAATGAATTTATCCATCTCAGTCCAGTCCCAGTGGACATGCTCCATAAATCAACATAAATTAGCAACCTTGGTGACAGTCACTGTAGAGGTTATAGACGCCGACTTTCTAATGTGCCGGGGGGTGCTCCTCCGCCCCTCTCCCCCGGCTCTGCCCCAGGTCCCACCCCCCACTCCACCCCTTCACCCAAGGCCCCTGCCTCTTCCTGACCCACCTCTTCCCGCCCTGTTCCGCCACCTCCCCTGAGCATACCCAGTTCTCGCTTCTCTCCCCAGCACCTCCTGCCCGCTGAGGGTGGGAGGTGCTGGGAGGTGGGGGGGGGATGGGGAGGCACTGATTGGCAGGGCCGCCAGTGGACGGGAGGTGCTAGGGGGAGGGAAAGGTCTGATAGGGGAGCTGCCAGTGGGTGCTGAGCACCCACCATTTTGGAGTACCCAGGGGATCAGTGCCTATGGATTCAAGGACTGTTCCTGTGATCCTCCAAATACATATGTGCCTAACTTTAAGCACGTAAGTAGTCCCACTGAACTCAGTGTGCATGTTTGCAGGATCAGAGCCTCAATGTCTAGATGACATCTCATTGGCAGGGGCAGGATGGAGAAACTGGCACTGCCACTGCCCATTTTGTGTCAGATCTGTTAATAAGCACACACCAGTGCAGAGTTGTCAATCCGGTACCTTTTGATAGCCCTTCAAATTAGGGTAGTAGTATGTAGTTGTGATTACATGCTTAGGCTAAATTTTTGAAAACTAAATTAAAAAGTTAACTGTATTTGGTCTTTCCCCTGATTTTTACCTGAACCAATATTTGAGTAGCCAAGGTCAGTCTTTAGGATATCAAAATTATATCTTTATCCTGTCTGCACTTTAAAACACTTTCTAAATACTTGACATTCAGTCACTGTTTGAGGCAACTGAAATACACCTCTACCCCGATATAACACTGTCCTCGGGAGCCAAAAAATCTTACCATGTTATAGGTGAAACCGTGTTATATCGAACTTGCTTTGATCCACCAGAGTGCGCAACTCTCCCCCCCCCCCCCGGAACGCTGCTTTATTGTGTTATATCCAAATTCATGTTATATCGGGTCGTGTTATATCGGGGTAGAGGTGTACCATTCAGAATGAAAACCGTATTCCAGTTCTTATAAATGAAAATGGGAATTTTCCAGACAACCACATTCTAAAGATTCAGACTACAAAGCATATGTCAGGTTGCAAAACACAAGCCAGTTTTTTCCAAAAGGAAAAATGTGCAGTCCTTGCCAGTCTTTCACATGCTTTTATAGCACATGGTAGCTGTAATGAATATATTTGTAAGGTTTCTATTTTAGTGAGTGTTAGTTGGAAGCTGTCTGGTTTGTGTATCAATATTTTTTATTTTTTAAAAATCATTGGTGTTTGAGGGGGGGTTACATCAGGAATTCTTTACACATTTACTTCTCAATTGATGATTAAGCATTACTTTTATGTATTTAATGTCATAGGCACCATCATTGCTTTCACTTTTTGACAACTGCATAAACAAAGAGATTCTACTTAGAGCCCTGATGTTTGCTGCAAATTTGAATGAGAATATGAAAAATGAAGAGGGCATCATTACCCAGGATCAGTACAGTGAAGATTCAGTTTTTTCTCTGCTCTGTGGGCATTCTACCCAATATACTAAGAAACTGGTATGTTTATTGCATCACCATGATACAGAAGTGAAAGAACAAGTTGCTAAAATAATAACACAACTAAGAGGAGATACTAAGACCAGATACTCTGGTAAATTACAGTAATAGAAAGTGTTCATATTCAATGCTAAAATGAATTTCCTTTCTTGAAAGTGAAGTTTAACACACTGCTCTTATTTTGCTGAGCACTATTACATGACTGTAAGCAAGACAGCTTACAATGCATTTAATACACAGTGTGTAAGAGATTCTCTTTCAGAGTAATGTAAAACAATAGTCTGTTTAGTACTGACAGTCTCCTACACAGAACTAGTGTGTGTACATGATAGAGGAAAGACGCTTTGGGGCATGGAAATATTTCCATTTCAAACTTACAGTAAGTTCTGAAACAGTGAGGTCAACTTTTAAAAAAGTGAACCTTAAAGTGACCTGTTAATGTTGCAAACAGCATTTTCATTTATCATGCAGCGGTAAACATTCACTCTAGGCTTGTAATGTGTGATAGATTTTGAGCACTGAATTTGTCACTTTAAGAAAGGTTAGGCCATTTAAATTTTAGTTATGTAATTCTATTAACTTTACTATACACTTGCAGGGAAATACTGGAACATCTATTAAGTAAAATGAATCCCCACATTATTACTTGGATGAAAGCATAATGAGATTAGTCAAATTATATAAACAGCTTTTGAAGGGAACAAGAAACAAATTTAATAAGTAGCTTATAAGCATTATATTACCCTTTTAATTGCAAAGTGTATCAACTCAAAAAACAAATGCAGATACTTTGAATATAGAATGTAGAACATGTAGTAGAAAATATCTTGTGCTGAAACAAGGCCACTAAAAATCCCTGAGCAAAGAATTATAGTGGCACAGTTGTGTCACTATAGTTAAGGTTGCATCTTGACTTTTGTTTAAAGGTCAGCCTTTCTATATCCTTTAAAATCAACATGCTTAGTTGGATTCCTCTGAAATTTGGTGTGCCTTGGGCGGTGAAGGGCATGGTTATTGATGTGGAGATATAAGCCCCAGAAAGTTACCATTTTGAAAAATGGTATTTTTGGTTTTTTTTGCACAGAGCTAGGGTAAAACTGTTGATGTGGGTCAAAATAATCTGTCTGAGTTTTACACAAGCTAGTGCCTGGCACCCACTAAGTCTTAGGGAGCCCAAAATGAGTGGTATTAAGAATGTATATTTACAGTGCAAATGCACTGACACAGAAAAACATTTCTGCCCTTTTTATATGCTTTATAGCTCAATTCTTGAAAGTGCTCTAAAATTAGAAGTGTTATTCAAATGGCTTTGAAATTTGGTGTGCTCATGGGGGCACAGGGTAGTGTTAGTGACCATAACTTGGAGTCATTTGACCAAGGGGTTCTTGAGTTACAGACCTCCCCTCCAAAAAAATAACACTCCTTTTGCTGCCTTATACTGTTAAACTGGGTGGTACTAATGACTGGATAACTCAGACCTCATTAAGATTGATGGCTGTGCACTCCCCTTCAATTAACATAGCCAAGGATAAGTAAATCACAAGCCCCCACCTAAGACAAAAAAGAGGTTGCTACAGTTTGAGTCATGGGTGGCAGGTTTGTTGTTGTTGTTTTTTTTTTTGGGTGGGGAGGGGGGAGTAGACATGTGAATGCTTCCTGGGAGGGAGTTATATGGGGATGAGAGAGAGGTTGGGAGGCTCCAGTGAGGGAAGTGCAGCACCCCTGATCTCTGCCAGTACACCCCAATCTCCCTACACTCCACAACTCTGTCAATGTATCCCAGTGTATGCACAAACTGCACGCATCCATCATTTCAATTAGTCTGTGAGCTCTTTGGAGCAGGGACTGTCGTATAGTGGTGCAGGAGCACCATTGTAGTTTAGGTTGTGTCACAACTTTTGTTTAAAGGTCAAACTTTCTAAGTCCTCTAAAATTGATATGCTTAGTCAGATTCCTCTGAAATCTGGTGTGTCCCAGAAGACTGCAAAGTAGGGTTAGTGACCCAAATGTGGGGCCATTTGAGCTAGAGGATGTAGAGAGAGGCCTGAAAATAACAGGCCTGTTTCAAAATTTTTTAGATTTTTTGTTTGTTTTTTGTCACAGAGCGAGAGCCTGAATTATTGATGTGATGCAGATCAAAATAATCTGTCTGAGTTTTACCCAAAGTATTGCATGGCACCTACTAAATCTTTGAGACCCAAATTGAGAATGGTATTTAAGAACATGTTCACCTCTTCACTTGTGTAGATGTGGTCTGGAAGGATTGTAGTGAGCATGCACCAAAACAGAAAAAATGGGAGCGGGTTTCTATGCATCCACTTCATGTTTGCCTCAGTCATCCGAATGTGCCACTGCCATGGCCCTGGTGAACTACCCACCATGGGTGGTTCCAGTCCAAATCTTTGTACACCTGTATAATAAAGATTTAATAATGCATGTTGCTTGCTACAAGCTGCTGTTTTTATTTTATGGGGAGGTTTACTTTGAACATAGCAGAATGGTCAGCAGGGAGTCTAGCCAAAAGTTTTGTTGTATCAGGTGGAGGGGAACTGAAAACCAAGGACTTCAAGGGGAGCAGGTATAGGGGTTGCGGCTGCGAAGGGGGCAGGAAATGAGGCAATAGCTCTGGTGTGGTGGAAGGGCAGATTTATGGGGTGTCCCCAAAACCACACAGCATGGAGGTGTGGAACTGACCGCACAAATACCTTGATTGCTAAATGGAGAGAAACTTGCGTGTTGCCAGCATGTGGATTCTGGCCAATTACTGGATCACAAGGGTGCAGAAGAGCACAGAGTGCATGTTCACAGGGGATTGCTGACAGCAGACTGACTTGAGGGGAGAGAGGTGGTCTGTGCTGGTATATTTTTCCTACTCTGCAGCATCTAACTGCTGACTTTAGAGATTGTGAAGTGGTACTGCAGTTGTCCATGTGGTATTCTTTCTGGGAAGTTGGCGATGTATGAGTATACAAAAGGATCTAGAACATCCTGAATGTTATAGTGCCAGGGGAAAATGAGGGTATGTGCATACGGAGGCTCTTCACGAGGAGGGAAGAGAAGGTGGCAGGGATTATCTACATTGATGGAAAAACCCTTCGGTTGATGTAGGAAGTACCTGCACTATGCTGCTGCAGCTGTGCCACCCATAGCACAGACATGCTCTTGCTCTCCCTTACTATTTCCACAGCCTTCAAATCTCTCTTCTGCTCTACATTTCCCAAAATATATTTTATACAAGTGAAAAGTTCAGAAGCTGCAGATAAGTTAGTATTAAACCACTAACAAGAAAAAAAGTGGGGGAAGTCCCCCATGAGACAGTCAACCCATGGATCAATTTGCCAGAGGATGTTGTGAAGGCCAAGACTATAACAGAGTTCAAAAAGGAACTAGGTAAGTTCATGGAGGATATGTCCATCCATTAGCCAGAATGGGCAAGGATGGTGTCCCTAGCCTCTGTTTGCCAGAGGCTGGGAATAGGTGATGGGATGGATCACTTGATGATTACCTGTTCTGTTCATTCCCTCTGGGGCACCTGGCACTGGCCACTGTCAGAAGACAGGATACTGGGCTAGATGGACCTTTGGTCTGACTCAATATGGCCGTTCTTACGAATTTAACGTGCAATGGCACTCCCAGAACAAAAAATATCCATACCCTGCAGTCAGACTTATGTTTTGGTATAACTAACAATCCTGTAAGTAGTATAGCAACTTTTTACAATGAAATGTGAAGGAAAATTACAATTTTCCTGGCAATAATAGACTTTATTTTGTAAATCGGTATGGCAACTGACTACAGATGCATTTTGCCAAGTTTTACAATACTGCACAAATTTTATAATCCCACAGCATGCTTAGTAAAACCATATGGAAGCTGTGAAAAGTCTTCTATAGCCTGTATTTGAGACAATGCCATCAGTGCCTCTGCTTATTTGAAAAAAAAATACAGAAATAAAAGGCTGAATCATGACTTCAGATAGGAGCAAAATGAGTTTATGTACCGTATTTGACAAGGAAAACCAATCTCAAAATAGAAATATTTAGATCTATGATAAAGAATAATTCTAAAACAATGAAAGAGTACAGATATTCTGGCCAGCAGTAATTATGCATTAATGATGCAAATCTTAAGTAATATCTCCCTTTAAAAAGGCACATTTCTTTAGATCATTTTTAGTTTCTCATGAAATGCAAACATACAGGCATTCAGTAAAATCAGTATTTTACTTTAAACATGCTTTCACAACAGTTGGAAGACTCCACCCCATAAAACCATATATGAAAAAATTAAAATAAAGCATTTTTGGTTGATGTACATAGTTGAAATTACAAGGTATTTCTAGACAATTAATGCCTTGTACATTAGCTAGTGTTTAAATCATCTCTCAATATGCCATTCAGTTTATAAGCAATTGTGTAATCAAGCAGGTATACAATTTTTACCTCTGAAATTAACAAACCTGGAGTCTAAAAATCCAGTACAAATTTTTAGAAAATTTCGTTATAGGGTTATGAAGCTATCAGTCTTTTCATTGTTTCCTAGTACATATCAAAACAAGGCTCAAAGAATTGCCAGATTTTTTTAAATTATTCAAATCCATCATCATTTATATTCAAGTCTCGTGATTCTCCATGGTGCAAGACAAAGAAATCCTCAGGTTTCAAGCCATATCTTTCAAGGGCTTCATTCAGTTTAACTGGAGGATCCAAGTAGTACTGGGGATGGAGGGGAGAAAGAGATACAATGCCAGCATTAGATAAAATATGGCTTTCAAGCTCTACACCAGTGGTTCTCAACCTATTTACCATTATGGGCCGCAGCTCTGTGTTGACTGGACCTCAGGTTGCGAACCACTGCTCTACGCAAACTGGTTCACCTTTTGGATATAATGGGCAATGTGTACTAGGTGTACATTTTCTGAGATTAAGTGAACATGAAAGTTTTGGGGTTTTATTGGAGGTTTATTATTATTTAAAACACCCCACTGAAATTATACAATTAGTAACAGACAATGGATGACCTATTAGGGTTACCATACGTCCGGTTTTTCCCAGACATGTCCGGCTTTTCGGCAATCAAACCCCCGTCCGGGGGGAATTGCCAAAAAGCCGAACATGTCCAGGAAAAATACCGGACGGGCACTTCCTCTCCCGCGGCTGCTCTGCTCCTCCCCTGACTCAGACTTCGGCTCTGTTTAAGAGCTAAGCTGCCCGAGCCACTGCTACCAGCTTTGGGCAGTCCCCGTGCCTCCGGACCCCGAGCCGCCGGCTGGGCACTTTCCTTCCCGGGCTCCAGCTGCTCTGCTCCGGCGGCGCAGGGTCCGGAGGCAAGGGGGCTGCCCAAAGCCCGTAGCGCTGGCTCGGGCAGCTTGGCTCTTAAACAGAGCCGAAGAGTCAGGGGAGGAGCAGAGCAGCTGGAGCCCGGGAGGGAAAGTGCCCGGCCAGGGGCGCAGGGTCCGGAGGCAAGGGGGCTGCCCGAAGCCCGAGCGCTATCAGCTTCACGGGTTTGCCAGGCAGCCTCCAGACCCTACGCCCCCGGCTGGGCGCTTCCCCTCCTGGGCTCCAGCTGTGCTGGGGAAGTGCCGGCCGGGGGGCGCAGGGTCTGGAGGCTGCCCGGCAAACCGTGACACCGGTAGCGCTTGGGCAGTCCTTTTCGCGTGGCTGGGAGGGAGGAGGGGGAGTTAGGATGGGGACTTTGGGGAATGGGCAGAGTTGGGGCAGGGCCAGGGCCCCGTGGAGTGTCTTTTTTTATTTTTTAAATATGGTAACCCTATGACCTATAATCTTTACAATACTAGCTAAATATGCATCTATCACTCAAAATCCATACTACCTCACACCCTATTGGATAAGAGTTCTTAAATAAACCAGGACCAGCTCACTCCTGGGTTGGGAACCATGGGGAAAAGTTAAGTACTGGAGGAAGTGGGGTTGGTGATTCAGTAGATGGCACTTTCCCAATTTTAGAAAAATGCATTCCCTGTCATGATCAACAAAAAATAAAGACTTCCTTCTCCCACATTTAAAGGTTATTCAGTTTGATTGTTCAAGCAAGCAAACTGTCATTTCAATGCTGTCTCCTTGCTGTGTTACATTTTTAAAAATAAATTTAGATAATTTGAAGAAGGTATACTATGCACACAGCATTTCTAGGCAATGCTATCTTGAATACAAAGCAAAGCATATTAAAAAGGCTTAAGGGAGTTTTCAACGTGTATTCAGAATAATTAAAAAAGCACTTTTTATATGTTGGATACCAAAGGCACAGACTATTCAAGGTGGCCTGCATGTGAAACGCTGTATCAAAGATACTGTGTTTACATATGTTGCCGCCTTAATAACTCAGTATCCAGGCTACTAGTGACAAGATAAAATGCATATAGATGTTTTAACAATAATTTCCCCTAAACTACAATTTTACAAACAGTGGCAACATATTACCTATATTAGAAACTTGTTTATGAAGTTAAAAATTGAGCAATAGAACAGAATATGAAATTGTCAATAAAGTGTACCTCAAATTAACTATAAAAGGAACTTAATTATGCAGGATTAGACAGTTAATCACATTTTACATGTTTAGTAAAGTGTTATATACACCTATAATAGTCCAACTTCTGCCTGTCTGCAAATGATACAACAATAAAAGCAAACTTAGCAGTACACATGCATCTGAAGAAGTGGGGTTTTTTTACCCACGAAAGCTTATGCCCAAATAAATCTGTTAATCTTTAAGGTGCCATCAGACTCCTCGTTGTTTTTGTGGATACAGACTAACAAAGCTACCCCTCTGATACTTAGCAGTTACATATTTATTCACATTTCTGCTGTCCCTGATTTTTGTATACCTAAATTACTATCCATATAACAGAACACTCCCATCCTCCATTCCAGAAAGTTATTTCACCCTGTGACTCATTAATAATTTCATCTATAATGGTAATAAAAACCATGATTGTCTGTTTTAGTCTTGCTATCCAGCATATTTCTATAATACCTGCTGATGTACTATTGTAAATATTTTCTTCCCAATTTGGGGCATTCAGATCTGAAGATCAATTGCAGAATTCTTTATCTTCTGTGTCAATTTCTCTTTCTGGATTTCTGACACAAGCTCTTCTTTGTCCCGTCATCTGATCTAGATTTGTGTCCCAAGTGTCTGATGATTCAAGGCATGGATGCAAAATTTCAAATGCTGGACTAGAATTATAGTCTCTCTCTTTCTGGGTTTCTTCTCTTATTCTCTCCCTCATTTGTCATGAATTCTATTACCTGTATGACTTATCTGTGGTCATTTACTACATAAGCAGTCTCATGTCACGTTCATGCTAACCCAGTACCACAAATCTGATGACAAGACTTGCTCTTTTAACATGCAACATTGATCTCTTCTGATCAAGCATATTATGCCTGCCCCTTTTTCAGTGCACCAGTTCCTCTGCCAATAGAGCAAGTATTCAAATCTGCCTGCATAATAAAAGCTCCCAATGTGCTGATATTTTTTCACTGCCTTTTATCTTTAAGTATTTGACATTCACAAGAAATTCAGCTTTATTGAGAACAATTTTAGCTCAAGGTATAAAATGTTAAGAAAACTGAACTAGTTTTTGTATTAAAAATTGTAGAATTTAGTCTTAACTAAATACATACAATATGTAGTCAGTTATGTAAGGATTAAGACAAAATAAACGTATAATTCTGAGCTATAGATAATCCATTTATAGATGTTTGTTATAATATGAGATGATTAAGCTTAATTACTGTTTCCGTACTTAGAAAATTTGAATGTATTCATGATTAGCCCAAACTCACCTCATTTGCTAAAGCAAAGGTTCCCCAATGAATCGCTACAGACTTCTTTGTCTGAACATCAATATGAATTCTTACAGCTTCTTCAGGATTCACATGCTGGTATTTCATAAACCACCTAACAAACACAAAATAACTTACATATTTAGTGTAACCTTGTACATTCAAGATATCTGTTCTTTATTAGGGTTTTTAAATAGGCAAGAGGTGTTAAGATATCCTCATTTAATCAAAAAGAAAGGTCTATAACTGTGACCAAGTTACAGAGACTGTAGAAATCCATTTGCTAGTAATGACTAGCATTCCTTCAACTAATTCCAATAGATGTATACAACAGCATGCACATCCACAGAATCTGGAGGGCTACTAGTTCAGTTTTTTAATCGGTATTCCTTATAGAGGTGGGAAGTTTTCCCAATGTATTCATCTTAAGGATTTATGGGCCATCTGCTCTGAAGCAAGTTCATGCTAACATCCCCATAATCAATATGTATGAAGAATCATAGGATACACCAAAAGAAACATGTTTTAGTAGATAGCACTCTTCTCTCCGAGTTGGTATTGAATGAACACTTTGCTTGCTACTGGAGGGTGCAGTGTTTTGAGTGAGATGTCAAGTCCCAAGGTATAAGGCACAGGATTAAAATTACATTGGTTCAACTTCTAGAATTTGCTATAATTGATTGCGGGCCAGTGTCAAAAAGTGTAGGGGTCAGTGACAGTCAAAGTCTCTCTAAAGAGAATAGAAGCAGATTTTGCACATCACTGAGAATGCTAGCATTTATTTCTGAACTGGGTAGTTCATGAGAAATACTGGACTTTAATCTCACCATTCTGATTTCTGGTTTGCTTCCCCAACCTATCCAGGCTTCATTTCTGACATTTTAGCAACTTATCTTGAGAACTGCTAAAGCTAAAAACTAGGACTGCCAAGTGATTAAACAAATTAATCACGCTTAAACAATAATAGAATACCATTTATTTAAATATTTTTGGATGTTTTCTACATTTTCAAATATATTGATTTCAACTATAACACAGAATACAAAGTGTACAGTGCTCACTTTATATTTATTTTTGATTACGAATATTTGAACTGTAAAAAAACAAAAGAAATAGTGTATTTCAATTCACCTAATACACATACTGTAGTGCAATCTCTCTATAATGAAAGTTGAACTTACAAATGTAGAATTATGTACAAAAAATAACTGCATTAAAAAAATAAAACAATATAAAATTTTAGAACCTACAAGTCCACTCAGTCCTACTTCAGCCAATCGCTCAGACAAACAAGTTTGGTTACAATTTGCAGGAGATAATGCTACCCACATCTTGTTTACAATGTCACCCAAAAGTGAGAACAGGTATTCGCATGGCACTGTTGTAGCCGGCATCGCAATATATTTATGTGCCAGATGCACTAAAGATTCATATGTCCTTTCATGCTTCAACCACCATTCCAGAAGACATGCGTCCATGCCGATAACGGGTTCTGCTCGATAACAATCCAAAGCAGAGCGGATCGATGCATGTTCATTTTCATCATCTGAGTCAGATACCACCAGGAGAAGGTTGATTTTCTTTTTTGATGGTTTGGGTTCTGTAGTTTCCACATCAGAGTGTTGCTTTTTTAAGACCTCTGAAAGCATTCTTCACACCTCATCCCTCTCAGATTTTGGAAGGCACTTCAGATTCTTAAACCTTGGGTCGAGTGCTGTATCTATCCTTAGAAATCTCACATTGGTATCTTCTTTGCGTTTTGTCAAATCTGCTGTGAAAGTGTTCTTAAAACGAACATGTGTTGGGTCATCATCCAAGACTGCTATAACATGAAATATATGGCAGAACGTAGGTAAAAGAACAGGAGACATACAATTTTCCCCCAGGGAGTTCAGTCACAAATTTAATTAACACATTTTTTTAACGAGCATTATCAGCATGGAAGTATGTCCTCTGGAATGGTGGCAGAAGGGGCATATGAATGTTTAGCATATCTGGCACGTAAATACCTTGCAATGCCGGCTACAGAAGTGCCAGGCGAACGCCTGTTCTCACTTTCAGGTGACACTGTAAATAAGAAGCACTTAGCAGTATCTCCCGTAAATGTAAACAAACTTGTTTGTCTTAGCAATTGGCTGAACAAGAAGTAGGACTGAGTAGACTTGTAGGCTCTAAAGTTTTACATTGTTATGTTTTTGAGTGCAGTTATGTAAGAAAAATATCTACATTTGTAAGTTACACTTTCACGATAAAGAGATTGCACTACAGTACTTGTATGAGGTGAATTGACAAATACTATTTCTTTTATCATTTTTACAGTGCAAATATTTGTAATAAAAATTAATATAAAGTGAGCACTGTACACTTTGCATTCTGTATTGTAATATAAATCAATATATTTGAAAGTGTAGAAAAACCATCCCAAAAATATTTAATACATTTCAATTGGTAGTCTATTATTTAACAGCGTGATTAATCGCAATTAATTTTTTTAATCGCAGTTAATTTTTTTGAGTTAATTGCATGAGTTAACTGCAATTAATCGACAACCCTACTAAAAACCAATGCTTTATTCCATCTGAAAGCTTAGATACCATGTGATAAGCAGGAAATAGATGCCCAGACAAACATCTTTCAAATGCTATAAAGCATTCAGAATCATGTGAGAACTGAAATCGGCGAAAGTAATGTGGTAATTAGAATAATATAGTAGCGCTGTAAATTGTGTGCATGTATGAAAAGGGATTTCATACATGCTGGGTAATCCCAGTGGCCTTTCCTATTCCCACTTTCTTTTCACATTAAAATAATGCCAGGCTGTGTGTGTTTTTCAGTAGTTTTTGGAATAATGTCTGAAAAAAACCCCCACCACATTTCAGCTTCTTTCCCTCTCTTTTCTACATCTTGGTTCTGGTGTACACTTAAAATTTACATTGACTTAGGTACATCACTCATGGGTATGACAAATTCACATCCCAGAGCACTGTAGTTAAGCTGACCTAACCCTCAGTTAGGTCAACAGAAGAATTCTTCTGTCAACTAGATCAACAGAAGAATTCTTCTGTCAACTAGATCAACAGAAGAATTCTTCTGTCAACCTAGCTTCCGCCCATTCAGGGAGGTGGATTATCTACATTGATGGAAAAAACCCTTCTGTTGATGTAGGAAGCATCTGCACTATGCTGCTACAACAACATAGCTGCAGCTGTGCCGTCCAAAGCACAGACATGCCTTTGCTCTCCCTTATTATTTCCACAGCCTTCAAATCGCTCTTCTGCTCTACATTTCCTGAAATATATTTCAGACAAGTGAAAAGTTCAGAAGCTGTAGATACAATGTTAGTATTAAACCACTAACAAGAAAAAAGTGGTTTGAAGTCAGTATATCATTTCATTGATCTAGTTTACATATCTTTTGGTCAAACCCTTTGAAATTTGCATACCTTGGCTCATAAGCTCCAATGGGAATAGCTGCAAGATCAAAAGGTCCAAATCTTTTGCCTATCTCTTCAAAAGCAACACAGTAACCAGTATCTCCTGCAAAGAAAAACCTATTCCAGGGCCCCAAGACAGACCAGCTGCCCCAAAGAATCTTGTTGTCATCTGTTGCAGTCCTCTTGCACCAGTGTTGAGACGGGGTAAAGACAAAAGTAACTGCGTCATGACCGGGGACACAGTTCTCTTCCCACCAGTCCAGTTCAATCACATTTTCACAGCCACATTTCTGCATCCATTCTAAAAGACCCAGAGGCACAAACCATCTCAACTCAGTGCCAAAGCGCTTGTTTAAACTCTCTACAGTATTATAGTCCAAATGGTCATAGTGGGTGTGGCTGATCATCACTGCATCTATTTTTGGGAGTTGATCTACTGTGCATGGAGGTCCTCGGAAACGTTTTGGACCCACAAACTGTGCTGGGGAAGCCCGCTGGCTGAAGATGGGGTCAGTAAGAATTACGAGTCCATCCATTTCCACCATAACTGAGGCATGTCCTAACCATGTGACTCGCATGCCAGTTCCAGTCTTACCAACTAGTTCAGGGTTTGGAATAAAGTAAGGGTTTAACACAGGAAGCTCTTTATCAAGTTCCTAGCAAAACAACAAAAAAAAGAGTTAGAAAGCAAAGCGCACACATAACAAAAAGCCCACAAGGTACCAATCACAAAACAAGGCTTGTACTTAGTGTATATCTTTAATTTCTAGGAAACCTGCAAGTAGATGCACAGAGATACCATTTCCAGTGACTTCAATAGCTTCCTATTAAATTAAAATCATTAATCTTATTTTTAATAATCATTTAATCCTTCTAGTCCTTAGAACATACTCTTGAGAGCAAGAGAATTAGGCCTGCGGCTCTACAAAGGAAACGATTCAAAAGATGTGCTGAAAACAATTTGCAGACTTTTACTGGAATGAAACAGAATTGCTCAAAATTAGCAACAAATTCTGATATCTTGCCCCTATTGCCCTGGAAGAGGATCTTAGTGCTGCTGCTACTACTACTACTATCTCTTGGAGTTTGGCCTTTAGCTTAAATATTGGAGCTATAGCTTGTGGATCTGAGCAATATCCTTCCAGAGTCCCAGCAGAGAGAGATTTATTACAAGTTACTTATTAGATTGAAGAGACTAATCTGCTAGGAGGACCACTAATATGCTACCGGCAGAGTCAATAATTCAATGAATACTGCTGATAAATTTTTAAGAAACTGCCAAGTAGAGAGGTGTAATGCAGCACCACTGCTGCTACATTACTTATGGAGGGTTATCTTAAATGTGAAGTCCTGTGGAAGCTTAATTAAAAATTGAAATATGAATTTCAGTTCTACTGAAACTGTATTGAAAGGTAATGATTAAGTGTAATTCCCTTCAGATCAATATTTCAATCTGGGATTTCATTAGAGCTGTAGTTTGAATAAAGAATTCCATTAAAAAGTGTGTTACATCCTGAATGTATTTTTCTTAGAAGGGAGGTGATAAAAATTGCATTATTTGCAGTGAGACATTTATGTCCCTGTCACAATAACTATGGCAATGCTCTCAGAAGAGAGGATAAAGCCATATTTGATCCACTTGACCACCTTCCAACTGATGAGGGTGCAGAAGAGAGCCACAAAAATAATTTGAGAGCTGGAGAAAATGCCTTACAATGAGAGACTCAAAGAACAAAATGTGTTTAGTTTATTAAAAAGAAGACAGAGAGATGGACTTGATTATCTTCACGGTATTATAGTGTTCTTTGATCTAACAAAGAGAGGACGGGGGGAGGGATAGCTCAGTGGTTTGAGCATTGGCCTGCTAAACCCAGGGTTGTGAGCTCAATCTTTGAGGGGGCCATTTAGGGAACTGGGGTAAAAATCTGTCTGGGGATTGGTCCTGCTTTGAGCAGGCGGTTGGACTAGATGACCTCCTGAGATCCCCTTCCAACCCTGACATTCTATGACAACTAGAACCAATAGCTGGACGTTGAATCCAGATAAATTCAAATTAGAAATAAGGCACAATTTTCTTTTTCTCTACCAAGGGAAGTGGTATTATCTCCATCATTGATATTTTCAGATCAAAACTGAATGCCTTTCTGGGAGATATGCTTTAGCCAAATACAAGTTGTTGAGCTAAATGCAGGAATAACTGACTGAAATTCTGTGACCTCTATTATATAGAAAGTCAGACTAGATGATCAAATGGTCCCTTCCGGTCTTAAAATCTATGAATTAATACAAAATTATGGAAAGGAGTTGGGGCAAACCATTTTCAGGTCTTCATAAAACAGAATTTTGTTCTTTGATGTGTTGAAAAAATTTATTCATGACTGTCTTTTTTAAATGTTCAAATTTTGGAGTAAAAAAAAAAAAATAGGTTTTTCCAAGTCATCATTTCATTATTGAAATCACAAGTACTTAAAAAAAGAGTGTACAACTTCTACTGCAATATATTCCATACTAAATCATTTGAATTGCACAACGAGGTAAACAATGAGGTGGATAAAATACACAATCTTATCCAGATTTAGTATTAGCATACTAGTATTACTGTGGTGACATAGTTGCACTATAGATGTTTGGTTTTGTTCCAAGAACAATGGCAGATGTTTGAAATATGACATTAATGACAAATTGGCTGTGGACAAAGATATCTAGTGAAAAATATGTACTACTCACTTCTTTTCATTACTGCATTAATTGAAGTCCCCACCTCCCCACCCCAAATGCAAAGCAAGAAGAAATACATGACTGGCTTTAGATTGGTTAATTAGCTTAGGACTTTGGAGCTCAGTACATACTGACTCACCATCTGATTTTATTTTAACTGAGATTTGTGGAGCAACACAAATCAACAGTTTAGGTTTACAATACATGATGATTAAAGCCATCTCAATGCCATTTAGAAAAGTCATTAACAAAGCCAGTAACATACAGAAAGCCTGTGGTCTAGATTCCCAGTTAAAAATGGAGGCTTGTTGTAATAATTTAGCAATAGCACTGCTCTACAGCCAAAATGCTTCTGAAATAAATGTAGTCAAACTTTACTAATTCTGGGTCACTGAGAACGAAAATGATGCTTAAAATTGTTGATTGGCTCTAGTTTTCAAGATATCCTATTGGGTCAGTATATACGACCCTTGACTTGGGAATGGCGGAGGATAAGTGAGTTATAAAGGGAAGGGATCTCAATTTAAACCAGAAATGACTAAAATACATCTTTGACTGGATCTATGAATACATCTATGACTGGGTTTGGACAGTACTTGCTTTTTAGGCAAAACAATGAATGATGCAATCTGAAGCTAGTATTGCGTCATACATGATATGAATTGCATCATGTTATTCCTAGAAGTCATGGATGATGCAATCATAATGAAGCTTACATCACTCTGCTGAACAAATTGCCCTATATCAGCTCTAGAAATCATACAGTGTTGTGCTCTCTTATTTGTCAGTGTTTGATTTTGCAAAGGGACACATTTCTGTTTAGCCAAAGTGAGCAGAGATA